ACTTTTTATGCAAAAATAAAGAGTGACAAGTAGAAAGTCTCAGAAAACACTCTAAAAATGGTCGCCAATTTAGATAATTGACTGTGTATATAATAAAAACCAAGCTTAATTAAACAAAGTGACTCTGTCATGCTCTGTACTTTGAAGTGCTCTTTCAAACAAAGCAAAAAAATTAAATATATAGAATGAGTCTGGAGGGATAACTTGGGGTCCTGTGATGGAAAAAGCATAAACTGAGAAGAAACGAAAAACATTTTTCGTTTTTCCAAAAATAAGCGTATTTTTCAAAGAGAAGATGACAGAAATCACCAAAACTTTTGGCTAAAACAGGGATATCGTGTAAAAAATTATATCGTTTCTGAAAGATCTGAGGACGGGCTATCTTCCCATGCATTTATCTCAATTTCGAAATTTCTGACGAAAATTGACTTTTTTGAAGGTAGACATTAACCCCTTAGAACAACACTATTAGGGTGCGCCACCTTTCGTTGTCTTAACATCTCTCACTATCTTTCTGTCTTCCATCTATCTATCCATGTTTTGGTTATCCATATATATAAGATATATGGATTGTTTTCTCGTTCAGTTGTTATTGTTGCTTTCCTTTTTAGTTTAGTTTATGTTTTCTTTGTGTTGTTTGATTGTTATTCATTTCCGTGAATAAACAAGATAGATCCTAACAAACACGTATAACTATTGAAGACCCCACGTTTTTAGTATTAAATAACGTATCTTGATTAGATCTATTAAATGCATTGTCATAGAACAAGAATCTCAAATATAAATCGTGTCTAAAGGGCCTCTAATGTGTTGTTTTTAATTCAAAAAATGGGTAAAAATTATATTTGGGCTCGAAAAGTATGTCAGAGCAGTTCTCTTCCAAAGATATTTTAGAACCAGGAAATAGCTCGTGAAAACCTGCATTGTTCTATATATAATTCAATAAGATAGCACTTGTTAGGCATATTTAATTTTTCATCACAAATAAGATTACTACCATGCTTTTTGCTAATATATTTCTTTTTCTCTAAGTTACGTCAAATTTTAGGGTAGTATGATAAGTGAAAATATAGATATGATTTAAACTTTTCTTTTAAGCAACGAAGCATAAATTAATTATTTCAATAAAGACTATTTGAACTCAACTAAAAAGTGAATCCAAAGGTCATAAGATCACATGAATCTCACGATATACATTAGTCTCAATGAGCATTTTGGGGGTGTGAGGACATTTCGAAAAGCATCACCCAAGTCCATATCCGTACATCCACATTCATATCATGGACTACACTTGTAGGAGAACCGTGAACATAAGGAAAGATAAAGAAGGAAAGCTATGGTCCTCCGTGTCGATATGTGTTATAGCAGTGATCTAAAGAAAGATGCTGTTCTCGAGATGACAGATATAGTACGTAGGATGATCTCTGTCTCAATGAGAGAAAAAAGAAAGAAAAGACACTTGGATGTGCCGCTATTGGTAATGAAGATGACGAAACGCAACGGATGCTGTTCGCACAATGGTGTATCGGATATGTACGAGAATCTTCATCGCATCAGTAGAGAAAGAAGAAAGAAAAAATACACTTCGTCATATAGATAAATAGAATAGCGATGGTAATTAAACGGAAAAGACACCGGTCTGGCAATGATGCATAGAATATGTAGGAGAACCTTCACACCGGTGATGCAAAAGAGAAAAACATACCAACGTATATATTGTATAAGCAATCAAGTTTTAATACAGGAATAGACGAAAAGAAGAGACCAGAAAATATGGTTAAATCACACTATTCCAATGGTATTTGTTCTTCCTTCCGTTCAACTACTCTCTAATCGCAATATCAACTGATTGACTCTAAGAAAAATTAAAACAAGCGAGGAAAAGAAATAGTTAACATTTCAACCTTGAGGTAAAAGCGAAGCACAGAAAAAAATGAATAAGGAGAGGATGAGTGTGTGAGTGTGGATGTTAATGCTCTGTGGACCCACGCCCATACCTACACCCCACGCCCACACCCACCCACACCCACATCCACATCCACACCCACCCACACCCACCCACACCCACATCCACATCCACGTCCACACCCACCCACACCCACATCCACATCCACATCCGCATCCACACCCACCCATACCCACATCCACATCCACCCACACCCACATCCACATCTACACCCACCCACACCCACCTACACCCACCTACACCCACCTACACCCACCCTAGTCCTCAATTAGGACTGTTTGAGAAAAGACTAGAGAGATCGGAACGACATGATTAAAAAGCCTGAAATATATTAGCAAATAGCATAGCTTTGGAACACTGAAGTCCTACGAAAAGAAAAACGGAAAAAAATCTGATTTTAATCGATTTTTTTCGTCTTTTTTCTATATCAGAAAAGACTCTATTTTGTTTTGTTTCACCTTGTCGTTTATTAACCAGTGCAACAGTATAAACAAAATCTAAGTGATAACCGATTATAATTTTTTCTTTTGTTGCACAACAATCAAATTATCAACTTTGATCATGCTCTTAGTGTGCCAATAATAGAACTTCATGAAAGATAATAGCTGCCTGCTCTTTCTTTCCTATATTCACTATTTTCTCTCTTCTTATTTCTCTCTCCTTCCAAGTTTCCTTTCTCTTATATAAGCTTGTGTTCTATGCAAAAAAAACACAACTGGAGTGATGAAAAGTCGAAATCGATTCGATTTCATTTTCTCTAATGATTACTGCATGAAGGTTATTTTTTTATTTGAGCTGACTTTCAAGAGATTATCTGAACGCTTACTCTATTCTGTAAATAAGGACTTACTGTTTTCATGTACAAATCTTAGATTTTGATTCAGTACATTAAGATTCAAATAGATTCTTCTTATGTGTCTATATCATTGAGTAAATTCTATTATAATTTCTCGAATTCCTTGCTATAGTATCTTCATAAAAATTGAAAATTGTGCCTTTCATTATTGATACTCCCAGTGCAATGTTGGTATAAAAAAGTTAATGTATGTAACGTGGTTTGCAGTAAGCCTATAATACATGTAAGAACTTCTTCAATCAAGACAATCGACTGCACATCGTGATTATCACCCAGCGTAGTTCTCGTAAAACTATTTTCGTTTTTTTCTTATTTGTAGTCACTCTTTACTTTCAAATTTAATGTTATCACTAGTCTAAGAATGTTAGAAATTAAATATACTTACGTGCTAGTGTCGATAGTTGAGTGTACAAATTTTGTTTAATGTGCTTGCAATAGGTTTTATTCTGTATTTATAATCGATAACATTACTTGTTTTTTTCCCCATAAATGTATGTTTACGAATCAATGGACCATGACCTTTTTCATCACGTAGACAGCTTCTTTCCAACCATGTGCTAATCAGCACATAAATCTCGTTCTTCATGTGTTCTTCCTCTTTTTTATTTAACCTTGCGTTTCGTGTTGTGATGATGAGAAAATGTACACTAATATTTGCATGCGCTTAAATTTGAATTGTAAATAAAATTTTTAACAAATCGAAAGATGAAGTAAAAAAATATATATATGAAGGGTGTGGGTGTGGATGTAGGTATGAAGGAAGAGAAGGTTAACACCCACACCCACATCCTAATGGTAGGGTCAGGGTTGCCAGATCTAAAATTAAAAAATCAGAAAAATTTTTCTTAAAATCGGAAAAAAATGAGAAAATATTTTTCAATGCTTAAATAACTAGTCTGTATATTTTCAATAACTTCAAATATCCTTTATCTTGCTTCTGTTCATCTTTTCGAAACAATATCGGAAATGATATTTCATAAAGAATTAAAGAAAATATCGATTACACAATTTACTCATGATTAAAAAACCTACATAAGTCATTTGAGCAGGATCACATTATTTTTTTCAAAAATGCTATAACCAACTTGACGAAACAATAGAATCAGCGTTGTAAATTCATACACACACATGCATTTCACAAAACTTGTGCAAAAGAAACTAAGACTTATTCTTTATAACGTTCGTCTTTGTTCATACTTTTTTATTAGCTCGAATATTCTTCAAAATATCAGGTTGAGGTAACAGATATTTATAAAAATGTCCACAAGTATAAACAGAACTCATTCCAATTTTCAATTATACAACAGCTAATTTAGCACCCATACAATTATGATTAGTTTTATTGTATCTGCGACGAAACAAAAAAAAGCTCAAAAACGAAAATATTCTTAATTATCAGTATAGTAAACGAACAGAGAAAGTTAATTCATCGTGATAGAAAACTGGATATTTATTGTCTGTAAAACATCATCATTTTATTGAAGAATATGCTTTCAGATCACTGAAGTGTGGTTTGTTGAGTTCATAATGCTGCACTACCCGATAATTATGGTGAAATAGATCGCAATATACGTGTGGTACCTCGTCATGGTTAAATTATTCTGGAATATTCTAAGAACTTAAATTCCCAAACAAGACTACAAAAACCGGAGAAAAATTAGGAAATCTGAAGGCGATCGGAAAAAAATCGGAACATCGGAAAGTCGTCGGAAAAGGTTTCAAAAATCGGAATTTTTCCTGCCGTATCGGAAGATCTGGCAACCCTGGGTGGGGAGAGGGAGGGGAAGAGCCGCCAAACCTCGAGCTTAAAACTTACAATCACTATTTTCTTCGAAAATATACGTGAGTTCCACAAAATGAGTGGTTTTATTATAATTGCTTTTCATTTTCATGTTTATGCATTTAAAATATGTCTTTTCATCTCATGAAATAAAACAGTCATTATAAAAATTTAATGAAGAATTTATCGAGAGCTAGTTTTTGAAAACATATTTTGGACGGGGAGGCGACGGTTTCAACGCTGAACAGGCTGGGCAGTGGCGGTGCGCAGCTTTATCAACGGGACGGTGACAGTGCGACTTTTTTGCTGACTCGAGCTCTCTATTTCAAATACGTAAATTGAAATAAGTGGCATAAACAATATTAATTTTACAGGTATTTTCTATTATTCAATTCAATATGACACAATTTTTACCACCAAGTGATAAATTATCACACGAAAAAAACGTTTACCATACGGTGGTTTGTTTGACTTTATCAATCATTTTGAAGTATATAAAAGAAAAAGATAAGAAAATATTTAGAATGAATTGTTTGTTTTAATTTACAGAATGTTGATGAAACACCACCATCAACAAAAATTGAAACCAAAGAAGAATAAGTTGCTAGAAGAGTAAATTAATTTAACTGTTATATATAAACAATAATAATATTTTGTTTTATTTTCTAGGCACATGAAAAAGCAGCTCTTAAACTTGAACAAGATCTTGTTTTATGTAATTAGTATTGAATCAATTTTTAAAGAAAAATTTCTTTTTTTTCATTTTAGGGGATCCACAAAGTAATGAAAAAGCTACAATAGATCCATATAAAACATTATTTATTGCTCGACTTGTAAATATGGATTTTATATTGTTAAAAAAAAAATACAATTACATATATTTTATTTATAGAACTATGATACATCAGAAACAAAATTAAAACGTGAATTTGAAATATATAGAAAGATTAAAAGTGTAAGTTAATTTGAATTTTTATCACTATAAATTTATTTCTATTTTATGTAGATACATTTAACACACGATAAACAAACGGGTAAACCACATGGTTATGTATTTATTGAATATGAAAAAGAATCAGATATGCACGGTAGGTCATTTATTAAAACTATTACTTTAGTTTTTCTTTTACTTAAGACGCAAAAATTCAGTTAGATTTCTTTTTTGTTTTTTTACAAATCTTCAGGTGAATAAGAATAATATACCTTAACTTTCTATTAGAATTATTGTACACATATTCGGTAATTTCTTTTCATTCGCTATACATGGGTTGAGAGACTTCATTTAAATTCATCCCATTTGTTTCGAGTCTACACTATCCATTGTTTGTTTGTCTTCTAGACACGCAACAGTACTGATGTGTATGTGCAATACATTCAGTTCTTTTGCTGCAACAATGTTTTTACGTATAAATATGCATATTAAATATGGAAAAACCAAACAGGTATTATACTTCCTGTATTAGAAAATTAGTCAGCTTCAAGTGCACTTTTCCAGAGAAAGAAAAAAATTATTTGAGGTTTGTATCTACATATTTATATATATATATAAATCTATAAATTGGGTAAGACAAGAAAAAAAAATTTTAAAATAATGGGTAAGTTCAAAGTATATTTACGATCTATTATCACCGAACGTATGTCCTTCGAAAAAAAAAAGATAATAATAATTAATGCCGATGGAAGTTAAATTCAGATTTATCTTTTTTACATTTTATTCTATTCTATAATCTTATCCCATGTTTTTCGAAACAAACACTTGTGAGTGAATGGGATTTATTTTCTACCTCGATTCTTTTTCTTGGAAAGTCAAAAAACCAGTAGGTATATAAGATTAGCAATGATGATAAGTCGATTTTGGTAAGAAACGAAAAAAAAAACATGATCAAATCTTCGATGATATTCTGTTGTGTTGACGGTAAGTACTTCACTTTCAGCTGCATACAAAAGAGCTGATGAACGCAAAATTGATGGTCGACGTGTTGTGCTTGATGTTGAACGTGGTTGAACAGTTAAAGAATGGCGACCCAGACGATTAGGTATGTATTTTTATATTTATTTGTGAAATAATTATTGATGAACGTATTTAAATAGGTGGTGGTCTAGGTTCAAAACGTCGTGACGGTCCACCAAGAGACAAACGTAATGGAAATCATGACTGACGACGATCAAAATCTCGAGGTAAGATTAATAACATAATAATTTATAAAAATTTCGTTGATTTCTGTATTACAGATAGTCGACGAAGTCGAAGTTGTGAACATAAATTGGTTTACGTTCACACGAACATCGTAATGATCATCGTTCATTATGCTATTAGTGTCAACAGATATTCTATCTCTTTTGTTTGTTCTTCCTCTACATTCTCATATGTTATACACTAGTTATTTCTTCTCGCTCTATAGCATATTCCTTATGTCATTGCAGATATACACGTATATACATATATATGATCGTTTCTGTTATCGTGTTATCCTGCAATTCTATTTCTCTTTTGTTTTTGGTCTTTTCTTCTTCAACCTTACGTTCACGCAAATCTAAAGTTTCTACAAGCATTATTATTGTTATCAGTATATTCTTTGTTGTTATTGATTATGTTTTTATTTGTTAAAATAAAACATATTAACAACTATATTAATACACATTCTTCCTATTTGAATACTGTACAATATAGTAGGCATTTGCATCAGGGTTCGCGATTGTTTTTGAGAGTTGGGGGGGGGGGGAGCTAAAAGTTTGGCAGAAAGTCGATATCTTTGCAAAAAAAGTCTTCTTTCTGTGAGAAATTTGCCAGAAATAATCGACTTGAGGGTGTGGGTGTAAGAAAGAACTACATCCACACCC